TTGTGGGTTTTTGGGCTCTTTGGCCATGTTCTGAAGGTTGTTCTTCCTAACATTTCACCAGTCTCTGTGGCCGGCATCTTCAGAGGACAGCACACTGTGCTGTCCTCTGAAGATGCCGGCCACAGAGACTGGCGAAACGTTAGGAAGAACAACTTTCAGAACACAGCCAAAGAGCCCAAAAAACCCACAACAACCATTAGATCCTGGTTGTGAAAGCCTTCGCGAATACATTAAACAGAGGAGATTATTCCAAAAAAGGGGTTACAATATCACAAGGACAATTAGGCTCTGACCTACAAAACAGAGCCCTCCCAGTGGCTGGAGGATCCAATACAGGCTGGTTGAACAAGCTGTAAAGATGGACACATTGTTACTTTGAACACCCAAGTCCACCTAACACTGCTGGGACACGGCCGTAATGCTAATTTCAGATGTCTCATCTGGGATTGGCATCATTAATCCATAATGAATATAAATCTCTTGATAGACGACACCACTTTGTTCCAATATTCTATATGCATGGCTAGCCTAACACCTCTATAATGCTAATTTCAGATGTCTCATCTGGGACTGGCATCATTAATCCATAATGGATATAACTCTCTTGATAGACGACACCACTTTGGTCCAATATTCTATATGCATGGCTAACCTAACACCTCTAAGTGATTTTCTTTCTTTCTTTCTTTCTTTCTTTCTTTCTTTCTTTCTTTCTTTCTTTCTTTCTTTCTTTCTTTCTTTCTTTCTTTCTTTCTTTCTTTCTTTCTTTCTTTCTTTCTTTCTCATTCTACGTAGCTTCCCAGACTTATGTCTTGTCCATTCCTGATCTTTCTTCTGAATTATAAAGCTCCAGAAGCTTTTAGCTGTTCCTCATAGCAAAGGTGCTTCAACTTTTTGATCCTTCGGAATATCTCTTTTTGGTCTCTGAACTGGATCAAGGCGAAAATCTGCCTATATCCAGTCTACGTCAGTTAATCTGAATTCTACCTAATTCCAACACTATCTAATTCTAAACATCTTTTAAAAATTCACCCCCTCCCCCAAATGTACTTCATACATAACTTTCTCCAATACACACACTTATGTACGCAACTTCATTCATTTATTTGATTTATATTCCATGTTTCTCTCAGACCAGGGCCCAATGCAGTTCCTAATAAATTTAAAACAGATGCAGATTAAAAACTAGAACAGGCCAAAGCATTCAGAATATTATCATATTATGACACAATTGCACTAACAATTGAACTGAAACAGTTTAAAAGATCTCCATTTAGGACAAAGAAAAGACAGCACTGCACATATCTGTGCAAGAATAACTGGTCTGATGGAAATTGCCTTTTTTGTGCTAAATTGCATAATTTGCACAATTTGCAAAATGGTGTGACTTTTGCAAACATCCTGCTATTAAGATGATTGCTGCTATTATAAAACCTAAAGCACTAGCTGGGCTGCCGGCATCTTTTCTAATCATCACTAGCTCCTCAGTGCTTGTGATCTGTAGAACTGCTTTGCTTCTCAAAGGGAAATAACAGTAGAGACATTTTATGCAAATTGCAGAACGCTTCGGGTGCCGTCTTTGTCTCACTCCTAGCTCAAGAGAAGGAATCTCACTGGGCTTAACAATTCCTCATCAAGATGTTTGAGTATGTCAGTCAATACTAAACTGATGAGAACTGAGCGAGTAATATGTCCATCACCACTTAGAAAGATAATATAGGCCCTGGATGCAGACACTACTGAAGTCTCACCTCACATCCCCACACAATGTTCCTGTGAGGATGCGGAGTCCTCTCCTGAAAATACCTGAAAATCTGAGGATGCAGACAGCCATATGTGTCATAATATGTCCCTCCATTTTGTCTGGATATAAGCCATATAGCTTTAGAGGTCAAAACGAATGTTCTGAATTGTGCCCGGGAAAATTTAATGCAAATCTTAAGATCAAATGACCTAATTTCTTATTTCATGCAACTGAAAAAAAATCCTATTGGGGATTTATAATGACATGAGTGTAGTTGCATATATTATGACATTATTTAATAAGTTCCTATATGCATCCCTGGTCAGTTGCACAACTTGGTGCATCAACAGATATTAAAATGGCAACTAGTTAATTAGCAGCAATTCATCACCATGATTTACACAATTACACTCATGCCAGTACAAGTCCTCAATGGGTTTTGCACCTATCTTTTCCTGATAAAGAGTTCTGGAAAAGTGCCACATTTTTTGCAACTTTTCAGTGATCCAGTAAAGTTATTGTCAGACTCTCGAGGGCTATACATTTACTTTTCAGGAATTCTATGCAAGATGTAGCAGTTCTCTTAGCACAATATCACAATCAAAATGTCTTCCTCAAAAGACTTGAACAGTTGTGCTCTATGATCTCTACCTAGTTCAGTGTTTCCAAATATATAGTCGTGGTCAAAAACTTGGTGTCATATTCATCTATCACCATTTTAGCTTGTCTAAACATACATCGTCTAGAGCAGTGATTCCCAGCCTTGGGTCCCCAGATGATATTGAACTACAGCTCCCAGAAATCCTGATCAGCATAGCTAGTTGTGAAGTCTTCTGGGAGTTTTAGTCCAACACCTGGAGATACAAGGTTCGGAACCACTAGCCTAGAGCACTGGTCTAAACTTCTTGGTATTGGGCTAGAAATGTCAAGGGCTAGAAATAAATGTTTCAGTGTTAGTGTCCATTCCACCCTGTCCTTAAAGCAGTGTGGTGCAGTGGTTAAGGTGCTGGATAATGAATGTGATTAATAATTGAAACATTCTATGTCTCAGTGATTTTCCAAGTTTGTGAGTCCACATCAAGAGACTTCCCGCTGCACCACCAACATCTCCCACATCTCATTTCCTCCCCCATCATTGTCCCCCCCTTTCCCCAGATTTGTCCTCTTGTTCTGCACTGGAAACTGCCAGATTTCGTGAAGCTTTCTGATAAAGCCTGCACAGGAAATGCAACATTTGCAGCAATTGTTCCAGGGAAGAAAATATCTGAAAACTACCAAGAAATTCTGCAAGATTGCCCACAGGATTTCGGGGGGTGGGGGGTAGGGAAATTCATGCAGAGAAATCTTATTGTGAAAATCAACAAGGGTTTTTCTTTCCTCCAGTTTTCATTGACAGACTTTAACTTTCACATCCCCCTGAGAAGGATTTCAGAAATCCCCACAGAGTGACCTTGGTATAGAGCCTCTTACTCAAAGTGACCTAACTCAGAGGTATCTTGTGAAGATAAAATAGGAAAAGAGACATATTAAAAGAAAACCAGGACATAACCACAGTCCACCTGCATTTCACCTGAGGGGACAGTGGACGCTTGGAAGAACCATTGCAGATTTAGTTGAAGCCTCCTTTTCTATTGTATAAAGCACAGAAACCTTCACTTAGTCCTTAGCTTTACTAATCTACTTCTGAGCTTCAAGTTCTTTTTATATGAGATGGGCGACCCTGCTGCTATAAAAAGAACTACCCAAACTTTTCCAGAATTTGGAAGGAAGAAGGTTTTTTAAAAATGCCCAATGCTTTTTTACCAGCCTGTCCTTCCTAACAGTTCCCCACCTTTTTTCATAATTAAATCAGGAATGCATATGTACATACATATACAGAGATGACCCACACCCCCTGCCCAACGTGGCAGTTGAATAGGGGGAATCAGTAATTGAAAGCAAGAATGCTCCACAGACTGGCAGCTATGGGTGATGTCTTCCTTTCCTATCATTCTACAGTACTGTACCTGCAGTAGCACCCTTCCTTTTCTATCATTCCCTCCTCTTCTGCAATGGGTGCGAGTCTGCTGGGATGTGTATGGTGAGTTGGTGGTGGTGGTGGTGGGGTTATTGTGGTCAGGGTGATGGGCAAATCTCATTCCGAGTTGATCCCATTTTCAGAAGACTTGGGGATCAAAATAAAACGGGGCACAATTCTTTGAAAGAGAGGATTTGAGCTGCTATTATTCACACAAACAAGCTTCTCCCCAATGTTTTGGAATGGGGGGGTCTTCTGCCACAGACGAGAGCTATCTATGAAGCCTGACTGAATTATGATCCCTACTCAAAAGGTTAGAATTTGTAGTGTTTTTTTTTCTTCCCTTATCTCTGAGAGAACTATCATGCTTCTCAATTGTTTGTGTTGTGAACCTACATTCCCCGGGGGGGGGGGGGAAACACCCACCCTGCAACTTCCTTTCTCCCCAGTTCTTCACTTTCTTTGTGAGCTGTCTTCCAGGAAATTGCCAGATACACTTTTGAAATAGTATCACTATACCCAGCCCTATCGAATCAGTGTTACTCTCCAAATATATTCCCTGTTAATAATTTATTGCTGCTGACCAGTGGCCAAGAATATTACCACAACACCAGAGGCTATGACTTCACAGACATGTTTAATTTGTCTTCATTTTTATGATAAAAGGGAAGGGTTTTATACTAGTCCTTTCAGTTTCTCTTCAAAAGACCTTCTGAGGCTCAATCTAGAGGTTCAGTGATTTTCCCTGCCCCATTGTTATTTTATCCTAAACAACCAGGGTGTGTCAGGGTAAAATATGAACAGAGAGGCTGATTAGACTTCTAATTATTTTTCACTTAAAATAACCCTCCAACAAGCTTTTTTTTAATCGTGTGAGGGTGAAGATACAGCAGTTCCTATATCTGTCCTCTATCTATATCTCCATAGATAAGAAATCTTATTAGGGAAGGACAGTTTGTGCTGAAAACTGATAAGAATAGGTTAAGGAGACTCTCCCCCATTGCTGCCGAAAACTGAATTATAGCTAACATTTCACTAAACTTCCATTTTGAGTTAAAACTCCTTGTACAGAACAGTGTTGAACACAGCTGAGTTATTCATCCTCAGGACAAGCCAAGCTCATGTTTCAAATCCTGCACAGTACCTGAAATTCTTTCACAGAGAATATAAAACACAACATAATTCTGAGCATTTGAACATTTACAACAGCAAAGTTTTAAAAAAGAAAGAAAAGCTTACCCATGAATTCAATTCCTAAATGGTGAGCTATACCCAGGAAAGCAGGTAAATGAAGGACAGAAGGAAGAGAAGGAAGAAACAAACATTAGTAAGGAGCCATACAACTGGGCCAAACAGTTATTATATGGATATATATAAACACAAATACTTAAATCCCATCCTCTTGTGCAGAGAGGTATTAGAATTGTTAAGGTACTCTCACATAATCTGGAATATTAACCTTTCTATGGATCCACAACAGTTTTTTTCCCCCTGTTTGGTGCATTCTGTATCAATTTGTGCTCATGTACTGTAAGTTGCATAAAGGTCCTTCTTAATGATGCTACTTTGACAGTGGTTGCTGGGCATTTAAAATACCTAAAACGGGAACATCACTAAGTCAGAGTACATTATGAGAGCAACATGGCTGGCATTGAAGGCCTCTCTCAAGGGTTTCTACACAATTGTTCAGCAATTTTTCAGTGCTTCAGAATATCTGTAGCTCTCCCAGGTAATTCAAAAGAAGTGCATCCTGGCAGAAAGGAGGACCTTCACAATTCTGAATATTTTTATTGGCACTTTACGTAGAATTATTTAGATGAGAACATCGGTCTCTCAATTGGAGGTTCTAAGTTGGATCACAAGTCTTCAGAAATAATTGTCAGCTGATATACATGTTCATTCTCCTTTGAAATATCCAAGGCTACGAAACACTGAAAGGATTTTTTTAAAAGCTAAAAGTACAAAATGTAAAAAACAAACAAACATCCCCACACTTGCTCTTTTCATATTCCATATTTTCTTTACCAGTTTCTTCTCCTTCTGGGATGTCAAATGCATACTACCAACAGTAACTCACCTTTGAAATTCTACTTGGGAAAGAAATCATATGCATTGTATTGGGATTCCCATTTTCATGGAATCTTGTGCAGGGGAAAATAATAGAGACATTTCCTAAAATCCTGTTAGCATAGCTATGCTTGTAGACATAGGGTGGTATTACTGGTAGAGGAGATTTTTGGTAAAGACTTCCCCTTTCACCTCGGTGGAGAGGAGATTTTTGGTAATTAAAGACTTCCCCTTTCACCTTGGTGATTTTCTGACATGTGAATTAATACCTTCCATCCAGAGGACAGCATCTTGGCAGCCTAAGGATTGGGGTGAAGGTCTTTTATTAATGGAAATCTCCCCCAGCTGAGGTTGTAATCACCCTTCTTCAGCCATTGGTTCAAAATAGGAAGCCACATCTTTGTCCACAGGATTTTCATCCTATTGACCTTAGTGGTAATCATGATTTCTTACTCTTTTGGATTCTGTGGAGTTGCTCATTTTATACCCAAATGAAGGTATAGCTTTCTCATATCCCAATATGCATAAACATCAAGGAATGCATGAACAACAGCTGTTAGTTGATCATGATTCTATTGACCATCCTTCAGAAACAGTGAAACTTTCCTTCATAAAATTTGCAGCATTCATTCATACTGAACACACTGATGATACCACATTATGCTACACTGCATTGACTTAAAAAGTTTGTCAGAGAAAAAAATATGTTCACAATCAAACAATATTTAATGTGCATGATTAGTTTGTTTTTGTAAGCTCAACTGAGGTGCCAAAAAGCATGCATGCTTTCCAACTTGATAGCCAAGATCAAACATATCTAATCTCCAGGAAACGAGAAATTCAGATATAAAGCTAAATCGAGGCACATTCCTTTTAAAATGTATGCCAAGGAGGAGATAAGAGTATTTTATTTCCAAAACTGGGTCAGATGTGTTGTGAAAATAGCAAGGCTTTTCAGTGGAAATCTGCTATCTCTTTCAAGGGAGCAGTTCTCTAAGGGAACACAGAAAGCAATACAGTACTTACTGTTCATTTAAAAATTGCCCAGTATTGGAGATGAGTTTGCTTGTGGAAACCAATAATAGAAGTTTCTTTTAAACATTAAAGATATGGGTTAAGAGATGAGAATAGTCAAAGCTATGGTTTTTCCTGTCGTGATGTATGGAAGTGAGAGCTGGACCATAAAGAAAGCAGACCGCCGAAGAATTGATGCCTTTGAATTGTGGTGCTGGAGGACGCTCTTGAGAATCCCCTGGACTGCAAGGAGAACAAACCTAGCAGTTCTAAAGGAAATCAACCCTGAGTGCTCACTGGAAGGACAGATCCTGAAGCTGAGGCTCCAGTACTTTGGCCATCTCATGAGAAGAAAAGAGTCCTTGGAAAAAACCCTGATGTTAGGAAGGTGTGACGGCAAGAGGAGAAGGGGACGCCCGAGGATGAGATGGCTGGACAGTGTCTGCGAAACAACCAACATGAACCTGACACAACTCCGGGAGGCAGTGGAAGACAGGAGGGCCTGCCGTGCTTTGGTCCATGGGGTCACGAAGAGTCGGGCACGACTAAACGACTAAACACACACACAAGAGATGAGATCTTCCACCAACACCACCAGTCATCAGAAGCTGAGAATGAAAGTTTGATCTCAAACATTTAGGTGGGAGAGGTGTCTGTTTTGGGCTGAATAAGGACTTAAAGAATCATCCTGAGAGATATCATTGGTCTTCTAGAAACTTGGTCTCCACAAAAATTCCTGAGAGCTTTCACCTCAAAGACCTTCACATTTACTTTCAGGTGTGCTTGGTGGAGACATGGGAGAGGGCCTTCTCTGTCACTGCTTTCAGACTTTGGAACTTCCTCCCACGGGAAGCTAGGCTGGCCCCATCATTACTATCCTTCCAAAGACAGGCAGACCTTTCTCTTCAGACAGGCTTTTCCTTAATGACTGGTGGTCTGAGAGGTGTTTTAAATGGACTGTTGTGCTCTGTTGTTTTAAATGTGTTTTAATATTGATTTTAGTTACCATTTTAATATAGTACCACTTCTTATTCATAAAGTACCTAATCTATTTTAGGTTCTGAACCGAAATTAAGAAATCAATCACTTCCCCTGTTTATGATTTCCATAAGAGAAAAGACAAAAAATAAGGGAGGATTCAAGAAAACAAGCAATTTCAGACACTAATTATTCAGTTGCCCTTCCCCCCACCACACCATTTAACCAAAGTGGTTTCCAGTACAAAGCAATGTAATCATAAAAACATAGAAACAGGTATGTAGAACATCAAATGCAGAGATTAAACAAGCCAACAAACCAACAGCTAAAAGTTGTTTGAATAAATTGTAGCATTCACAGCAGGTATGACAATCTACTGATGAAGACATAGGCCTATCTGAGTGAAAACATCTTTGTCTGATAGTGGGAGGCTACATGAGAAGATACTAGACAGTACTTTGAAAATGATAGGAATCTCTTCAACAAAGAGATGTTCTTGAAATGTGCCATATGCCTACGCAGATCACTGTTTTGTTTTTGTTTCTGGATAGGCCTCCCTTGGCATGGAGGACAGGAGGAGACATGATGAAGGTCTTTTCTCATCTTCCCACTGTTTGGGAGAACAAGAAGGATCTCTGCTTAGAATCTTAAAACCCAAGGGAAGCTTTTGTGGGAGGTTGCATAAATCAAGAGGAAGAACAAGAGAACTCTACCAGACTATTCCCTTTCATCATTTAGAAGATGAACAACAGGGGTTGCGAGAGAGATGCACATTTTTCTGAAACAGGTAGAGCAGATGATATGAAGAAGCTCCCTGTGATAATTACTGAACTTTAACCAGCGTGATCTCAACAGCTGATGTACTTTAAAATTTGTATCATGGCTCTGTTGAGACTGTCTTCTATTTTACAGAGATACAATGCTGTACATATTTAACTGTCATCTTTGCAGTCACCCATTCTTCTTTAGGTAGACAGACAGACAGACAGACAGACAGACAGACAGACAGACAGATTTAATTCAAGAATGGCCAAAATCATCTTTGCTTTATCCACACATGCAACAGCCCATTGTGCCTGCACTTTTTGGTGTGCTTTTTTTCCCCACTTGTGCATGCGTAGGCCCTATTGTTTTCAACTGGATACTCTTTGGCTTGTGAAATGGCACACTTGTCCACTTGCCTGCCTCTGTGTTTATACATACAAATATTCCTTTTTACCCCAGGTCCATCCACTGCTGACTCCAGTGCCTTGCACCACAAGCACAACCGAGACCAGACATCACTAGCTCATTTTCTATATAAGTTAGAGGCTATCTTCTCACTTAATACAATCAAAAGATGCTCTGAAGGCCCTCTTTCCTTCAGCTCAATATATTTATTGTATTTAACATATTTTTATCCTGCCTTTCTCCTCAAATTTATTTATTGTATTTATATCCAGCCCTTTTAATCACTAAATTTATTTATTGTATTTATATCCCGCCCTTTTAATCAATTGACCACTCTGGGCAGCTAGGTGGCTTACATCAGTAAAAGATAATATCTAAAAACTAAAAACAGTGTTTATGTATGTGTGTGCGTGTGTGCGCATGCGTACACACACACAGGCACACACACACATTTGGACTTTATTTGGACTTATACCCCGCCCCGCTAGACGAAGTCTACATATACACACACATGCATATATAAAATAAAACAAGCACCACCCGAAAATAGTAAACAAAGTCAACAACAAACACACAAAAACCAACAACAAAACACTCAAAGCAACAAGGCACAACAATCCAATTCAAAACCCCTCTTCAATAGATAGTCTCTAAGGGAAAGCCATATGTTAGGTAAAATTACTAAATTACTAAAGCAGGCCTTGCACAGGAAATATGTATGCTTAATAAAATAATAAAATAACTGTGTACTGTCAAGTCCATTCTGATTTATGCCAATCCTTTTCAGGGTTTTTCAGGCAGAAAATGCTCAGAAGTAGTTTACTATTTCCTTCTTCTGGGGGTGCTCTGGGACTGTGCAGCTTACCCAAGACTTACACAGGCTGGCTCTTCAGGAGAATCAAACTCCCACCCACAGTGGGATACCTAAACCACTTAGCTATCCAGCCAGCTAATAAAATCTAAACATAACAAAAATGTAAATGTACTAAATCCATCCATCCATCCATCCATCCATCCATCCATCCATCCATCCATCC